TATATATACCAATGTATCAATAGCATAGTTCTGTCATCACTAAAACTTCCAGCTTCATGCTACGCAGCTAGCAGTATCTGTGTGCTTGTTTGTTGTATTCGCATCTATCTTATTTTTCAAACTTGCTTTTCTTACATTTCCGGCACACGTATTACTATTGCGCTTTGCAGGTCTATATGGTAGACTATATTGCTGTAGGAGTATATATCAAAGTGGCACGTCAACTCGTGCACTGTAGCATCTAAGGCGTGTATCGACCTGCCTTTTTCTGTCGTGGTATAACGCTGCCTCTTGACAAAAACGACAGCAAAGACGAGTTGAATTTTTGTCACTTTAGGTTTAGAATTAGGTTACTCTTATTATTCACATAAATCGTGTGGATTGCGCCCGTATTTCGTTTTTAGGCCACCTCAAAGGATATGTGTCACGACAAACCACCACTTATATATCTGACCACACCTCCTTTCCAATTTCTTTTCATATGCTGTATCTCTGGAGATGTACAACCTCAAAGGTCACATATGTGTTCATTATTATAACGAACGTTATACTTTGTTAATAATGAAAATGTTTTTACGTAAAAATGTGATCTATGCATATTTTTATGCACGCATCTCATTAGAATAGTTTACATGTAAGAGAAGGTAGAACGCCAAAAAACGTTAATCGTGTGATAAGGATGAATAAAACTGCTGCAATTCCCCTTCCAGTTTCATCTCAGCAATGACGCTTTAACATTCGCTTGTTTTCTTCCTTGCAATAACCTTCAACAATACAACTGAAGATACAAAAAAAACTGAAACAAATTAATTCCCATGTTTTTTTTGTTTATTCCACGTAATTTAAACGTACTTGTTGTCGAGTATATTGTTGGATATGCATGTAAAAACGACTCAATAGACCATTCGTCAGTGTTAGCGGCGATACCGCCAGCTAAAGATTCGGCGAAATTCCATGTGGTCCATTTTCTTTGTTTAGATTTTTCTCGTTTGTCGAAACTTTACGAACAACCAATAATCTATCCAACTGCCTTGAAACAAAAGTGTGGCAGAGAAAAATGAGTAGCTGTTTAAAAGAACTGAAAAATGATCAGCGCGGACACGCGGCGTCGGATGTGCGATCAAATATTTCACTGTCCAATATCATCGTGGTCGGTCTGTCGCTAGTTTCCATTAATTTCTGCTTGCTGCCGCCCTCTCGTTTCAGTGCCTAGTTTATGTCTCTTCATTCACTATGTGCGCTCGTATTTCTATTCACTTCTGTTTTACTAGTTGACCTTCCTCGCAGTGGGACGATATCTGTATGTTGTCTCCTGTGTACCTGTATTCTTGAAGCTGGATGTTAGTGTTGTGGTCATTCCGTTAGAATCATCTGAAGGCAAGTTTGCCGTGGGATTGACCGCCAGTCGATCCTGGGTTGCCATCTTATAAAGAGGTTTTAATACCTGTAATACCCGAAGAACGAATCGATAAAAATTACGTCTTTGCTGTAAAGCTAGTGTAGGCAAAAATATATGAACCGCTTTCTTCCTTATAAGCTTAATAAACGCAATAATAATAACAAATAAAATAGATAATTCCACTATAATTATCTATTACGGTTGACAACACCATAATATCCAATGGAATAAGTAAATCTTAATTTTAAACAATTTTTTGAACAGTATACTTACGTGCGTCCAGAGCTGACTAGCCACAATATCGATCTGGTGCCCAATCTCGCGCATCTCGCCACTGTATTGGATGTAAATCCAGCCTACCAAGGCCAACAGGACCAAACCTATGGAAAATATAAAACGCCCAAATATTTATAATGAGCAAATAATAAAAGAACTTGTAGTCCAATCATGCTTAGACAGATAAGTAAAATTAGATGGCAATGTCCTAATGAAATGAAAAGAAACCGCGATATAATGTTAGAGTGCTGACTTTTTTGAAAATGATCATAGAACACCAATTATACGACGACCTTCAAAAAGGTAGGGTTGCAAAGAATATAAAAATCGAAAAATTACATCGAATTTGTTACCAAACGAGCTGTTCTTAAAGATCGTTCTAATGTTAGAAGATATTTAAGTTCGAAGTACACGACATCATAAGTATTATACACAATCAGAAGTTTCATTGGAGCTTTCATTTACGATACCAGTCGGAAGGTCTCTTTAACTCGAAAACACTCACCCATGAAAAGATTGCATATATTTGCTAGTGGATAAATTCCAAACAACGCGAAGATTCCTGAGGAGATGTAAAAGAATATAACAACACTAAAAAGGCACGCTGGCGTTCGCGCGGCCTGGAAAATGTTCTTGCTCTCGTTGTGCTTTTGGAAGTTCGCGAACATTTCATCGAGTTCTGTCAGTAGCCGGTGCAGGTAGCGAAGACAGAATTCGTTGCCACCCATTTTTCGCGTATTCTCGAACTGGTGTCGAGCCTGTTTACGATTTAAACAAGGAGTGCTGTTCGTTACAAAATTGCTACGACACCAGGTACAGTTAGGTTCTGCTTAGGTAATAAGCTAAGCCCATGGCTTTTCAGCGCTGTAATATATATACACATTTTTGTACTACCACAAGCTCCGTTTTTTATGTATGCGAATTAAAATGATAACTGCAATGAGTGCGTTGCGTAGTTCACAACTACTAACCAGATCCTTGAAGCGTACATGGTGAGTCTGAAGTTCGCGCGGCGAAACGTAAGGCTGATCACCTCCGCACAGCTTCTCCATTTCTCGTGTATAAAAGTCACGAGCGACGGCAACCGCCGCGAGATTATTGGCTTCAGCGGTCGCTTCCAACATTGTTTTCGGTTCAGGCAGTTCGTTCCCGCCAAACACATTAACGTATGCGCGAAAATACTCGAGCAGCTCCTGACATGTAACATCTCTGCCATCGATCTGTTTCTTGACGAGATTTTTTGGCGCCAACAACGACGGCACCAAGTCAGAAAGCTGCGTTTTGAACTCTTTTTCGATATCGCGGTTCCGCCCATCGAAATGCGGTGAAGTGGCAACCTTCAGTCCGGGATGAGGCAAAAGGAAACAGGTTATCGACGAGAAGCATGACCGAATGTGTCTTCGAAGTTGCTGTAGCTCCGGATGTTGTTTCTCGCTGATTTCAAGTCTCCTTTCAAGGATTTCCTTTCCACCCTCAGGCCCATAAGGAGCGTCATACGGATAGCTCCAATCGCGTACAAGAAACAGAAGCTTCTGGAAAGGTGCGCAATCGTGGGTACCAGCTTCCGAGGCCAAGCGGCCGTACTCTGTAAACAGCTGAAGGTGCTGAAGATCGTCTTCTTGAATGTTCTATTGCGAGCAAACGAGAACCAAAAAATACAAGTGATAAATGGCTGTCAGAACTGTAACATTGGGGATAAGCGCATATGAATCGACAGGTTTACGACGAATTGAATACGGTTTTGCCCCAATATTTGTCTATAGAATTGAACTTATGCTTGGCTTGATTAAGTTTTAGTGCACTGTTAGATTAAAGGGGACAGATTACTCTCTTTAACTTTAACTAATTGTTCTTACGTCAGACAATAATTCTCGTGTAATTTTTAGTTCAAACAAGTTACTCCTGATATACAAGATTTTGAAATATATACTTTCAACGCCCAACAATCGCTCCTTAATTTCATATTACCACTAATTACCTGGGATAAGTTGTACACCTGGATAGAGGAGGTCATCGTTGAAAGTGCAAAGATTGTTGCACAATCCTTCACTGTGGAGTGTGAGTCGAACGAGCCCTGCGTGTCCATAAACAGAACAGCCACTTTTTCTCCTGACGGCATCTTCACCTAGGTCGCCAGCGTGCATACAGACACAATGTGGTATTTTTGTTGAGTAGTAAGTGCAGAAGTCCCCCCGCATTTTGATAATGCACATTTGATCTTTCTTCACTTTGTCCCTCTTTGTCTTTCTTTCGAGGATTCTTTTCAGTGCGTCCTATGTTTTAACACAATCGAAAAATTATCGGGGGTCACTGAACTAGGTCAACGCCAGATTAGTCTATTCTTCCACTACTTAATTAAAGTAGTAACCTTTTAGGAGGGGACACTGTCTAAAGAAGCGTGAAAAACGGATCGGCTAGGGGATGACGCAACGAAACCAACCTTGAAGACTTCGTTCCAAAGTAGGATGCCGGTCGTATCTCGCTCACACCCACCCTTCCAGCTGAAGCCCTGCAGCGGGGTATCTTCGTCGCCCAGCCATTGAGTCGAACCATTTGCCCGCATATATCTGGTAAGAATTTGAAACAGATTTAATCGTTAGTCACCTTTATATTTTTATATTATCGGACGTATATAAAATATATATAAATATGATAGTACGAAGAATTATTATTTATGACAAACATCATACATGTCATTAACGACGCCAGTATCAAGCCCTATAAAAACAAGCCAACTTAACGAACTTGTTAGCTACTATAATTTCACCTAAATCAAATTCAGATTGTTGTGAATTGTTGTGACATAACACCATGACTATAAATTCGTCACCAATTACCATGCTGGAATATTAAAGCCGTATAATTACACGTGATAAAAATAATCAATACACATACCTCAGGAAGAAATCAAGTAGAAAACTTTTCCCTTTTCGAAAGGCGCCAGCAACTGACACAACGACAACCTTGAGGTCTTTAATGTCCTCGCGTAAAAGGAGCTTTGTGAGTTCAATATCGTTCAGAATAAATGTATGGTCATCACTGGCTGTGAGGATCTGTATCGGCTGTTCAACAGGGCCAGGGTCACTTCCTATTTGACGATCTGAACGCGGAATGTTGCTGATGTCGTTATGATACAATTCAGGCATCTTTTACGCGCGTATTGCGAGCGCGAAAACGCACGCCAATCACACGTTTAAACAGACGTACTGGTCCTATTTTATGTTCTGGCGACGTATGCGCGAATGTTTACTGAATGTAGGGTCATATTAGAAAACGACATTTATGTTAGTTTAATTGACATAAGTGACACAAGAACTTGAAGAACAGTAAGTAACGACCAATATAAATCAAAGAATGATCTATCATGAGTTTTTAACAAAGACGTACCTCAAACTGTGCTTGAAATCACTGCACGTGTACAAAAACGTTGCAGATAATTTTATCTATAATTTTATAAATTAACCCGCTGGATATCAAAGATGCTGTCCTCATATGGCTTAAACTGTATCAGATCAATTTGCAACGGCAGCTGTGACTAGGAAAAACACAGTAGGTTTAGACGTCGCATAACCGGTAACCCGCAGGACCCAGCCGTATTATTGGATCAAGCATTATCGAAAAACGAAGTTGAACGCTTTTAGAAGAAATGTAGCGTCTTCTTAGTGATCTCAACAAACGAACTCATCATCATCCTAGGCAATTTCAGACAGATTCGACTAAATATGGATATGAAATTCCGTACCCTCTCGGTCGTTACCGGCCCAGGAGTTCACTTTACAGTAACGTAAAATGGTTCAACGCTGGTAAGAGACCGAATGGAAAAAGAACCGAGAAAACTGATTATTTTTTGCTCAAATCGTAATTGTTTGTAATACGTTATTTTTCACACCCTCGACACTTGCTGCAAAGGTATGCTCGACTAGACCATATACTAAGAAAGGGAGGACAGGCAAGATCAATAACTACATGGAATATTAGCGAACTGTTCACTCCTCCATTTTTTCACATCCCACTAAACCTTCCTGAATGTTAATCATTAAAACTGCCAATCAAAAAACTGCCATTTTAACCGTGAATGTTATGCAACCTTTGGCTAAAAATGTTCTGTGGGTTGAACACATCTCACCGGTCGATTGCTAAGAACCTATACCACAGTAATCCATCGTCTAGTTAATAGATTTGTACCCAGATAAGCACATTGTTGATTTCTGGTTCATTTGATTACTATAACCAATACCAATTGCAAGTCGAATTTCTGGTGCGTTTCAGCCAGTCGCCGTACCAAACTCCACCTGATTTGTGATCTCTCCAACACTACAAAGAGCTCATTTCTAGCACCAATTACGCGACGCTGTCGACTATTGCTGGTGCGCTTTAACAAAAACGAATGAACAAAGAATCGACAATGTGTTGACATCACGACCAGAAACACCAGTGAATCGACACAGGACGATCTTGCGTATGTGTTCGCTATTGCGGAAATTCATGGAAAATTTACTCAGTTGCCAGAGAGCCGATAGTGCGGCAAAGATTTCATAGCAAATTTTTTGGAACTGAAATCATATGCTGAACGGATGTATGTTTGGAAGCGACTCGTATCGCTGACAGTGTTCTTGTTGACGAAGATTGCCAGTTATTCTTTGTTACATATAATTATTAACAATAGAACATCAAACAGAAGAACTTCGTTTACGGGAACACTGTTAGCGATACGTGCCGTTTAAGTTCCACGTATACATCGGTTCACCGTATGATTTCGAGCTGCAAAAAATTTGCTATGAAATATTTGCCGCTCTATCGACTCCCTGGCCACTTGCTATACAGTTTCCCATGGATTTTTGCATTACGAAAACATACGCAGGATCGTCTTGTGTCGATTCGCTAATGTTTCTGGCCGTGACGTAATCGATACGCCGTCGATGAACTGTTATATATATGCCATCGGTTCCAGTGCCAAACAAATGTTTGGAGTATGACGTTGCTAATACAGCTGGGCTTGTTAGTCTTCATACAATACTTATGTATTGATTTTAGTAGAGCCGGGATCGTGGTGTAAAAAGATCAACTAAATTACATAAGAGAATCAAACGGCCAAAAAAACACAACGTAAGGCAAAAAATTACAATTTACAACTTTCCTGGAACTGCTTCACCAGATCAAATGTTGCCGAAAATAAAAATATTAACTTCTAGAGGACTCTTTTACCATAAAATGAACCCTGAAAGTAGCAGCTTTTTACGACGTAGTAGGGCAATAAAACAATCAATAGGGTAATCGGCGGGAATTGAAGCATTCATATGACAAATGAGATTGAGAGAAATCCCGCGGTGAAAAATACTTAAGAAAATCACGGATTTCGCCATACTGTCTTACGACCGAGCTCGTGACGCGACTGAATCCTATTTTAACACTGTAAAATGTAACGTTTGGTTAAGCAGAAAACTCGGATGCAAAACGCTAACACTTTGAAGGTTGTGAACAATGTAAGCGAAGCTTAGTATTTCATTGAGAATGTGTGCTTGTTAGCATGAAATTATTTGTAAAAAACAATTAGTGAGAAGACCCAAAGGACAACAAAATCGGATATTATACCTTCGAAGGTATTAAAAAATGCCGCTATCATCTATTTAACAAAGAGTAACGGGAGAGGATAGCTGCCTCAGAGAATTGCTGATTAATTCAACAAGGCAAAATAAGCTCTTCTACATTTATTCAAAAGAAAATGCAGCGGCTCTGTTTAGAAACGGTTGCCGCCGACCTTCCAAGGTCCCCGTGAAGCTCTACAATGCTCAATGCAGATCGAATGAAATGTATGTTTCTACTGTTGCAACGGTAGATATCGTCCGAATGAATAAATTGAACCGCATAAGCTTTCTATCCTGACCATTGCCCCCTCACTGACATGTGATATGTGTATCCAAAGTTCGCGAATGGTTAATGAACTTGCAAATGTATTGGAATGAAAAGCTCTAACGTTATTGCAAACGCTATACAGTGTTACCCAATGCAGCTATCTAAGCAGAATAAACTCAATGCACTATCACTAAATCGGATATCAGCAATCGCTTTTGTTGTGAAGGTAGTTCCTCGTTGTGCAATCCCACTTGCCTCACACATGCTTAGGAAGGTTCCACGATGCCACGGAATCTAGCAGACATTCACACATGAGCCTCAACAACAATTCTATCTACCGCGACGAAAAGTCCAACGCTAGAGGCATATACTCGGCTACTATCTAGTTTTAACTAGTCAGATGGATTTTTGCTAAGATGTTTCCAGTTGTACGTCCATCAGACAGCTGGCTCCTAGAATGAAACCAAATGTACCGACACGTAGGTTTGAACCTTAGCTAGGTGTACGCTAGGAGCTGGCGACCGAGTGTTAGTCCTTTCAGATGAAGCAGGTAGGTGCGGTAGACAACTCTGTGGCATGCGCTTGTCTAGTGGTCTTCGCGGTAACACCAGCTTCATTACATCACTATAGGAACATCTCAGTTTCTGCTTTTTTGTGGCTACTAATATAAATAGTATTACACACAAGTGCCACCCCGAAACAGCCGCCCGTCGTCAGCTGCGGCGGCGGCCACGGCGACACAAGAGTGTCTCAGACGGTAGTCGCAGCCGCCGGTCCTCCTCACCGTAATGGCCGGAGACTCGCGCGAAGCACGAACCAAACCTCGAACGAAGATTTGCCTTTTCTCGGTTTCATTTGACTGTGACCAATTTATGCTCTGTCGCCCTCTCGCGCTACTGTAAAATTGCATAGGAAGACCCCGTGTCCCGACACTGATTTGCGGTTGACTATCGCCGACCGCATGAACGACACCGGTACGCGGAGATTGGCAATGTTTACCACCAATATTGCGCGAGTTACATCGACAGCTTGAGCTGCTCTTCGTCTATGTGGACAAACTGCTTGAAGATGCCAATTCAAAAATTCGCAAAAGGGTTACAGGGTTATCAACAGGGTTACCAGCAACAGCACTGTTTATCGTTTTTCGTTTTGCTATCGGTGTGCGTAATATTGAAGGTCAGTTATAATACGTTGTTGTGGCAAAGAAGAATTAACGGGAAACACCAGATAGAAATGGAGTTCAATTGACATTGGTATTAAGGATTCGTCGCATAGAAATCATGCTTTATTAAATTTAGTCATTGCTAAATGCATCACTCATATCACTAAAATTTAGCAGAGTCGCCTGTTACAGTTCATGCTCATCTGTTAGTAAATAGAACTGTTATTAACCACAAAACTGTTTAGTTATTTTTGAAAAACCTACTCCAAGCAATAAGCCCACCACAACTATAATTCATACTAGGAATACTACTCTAGGGACCCAATAACCACGACGATGTCACTCTTCAATAAAATAAATGGTAGTTGGTCTGTCATCAACTAGCAATTCTACTACTGCCATCACACTAAACGCCTTCGTAGTCATAGTGGGATATAACGACACTCAGACACGAACTAGGTACCGAATTCTTGCTGCTGTTGATACCACCTTACTAAAGTAGTAACGGATATATAATTCAATATATGATGAATTATGAGTCTGACGCACGAAAATATTTCTAACACACATACATGCACACTTATATGTGTTGTGGTGGCAGAGCCAATACAGAGAAAACGAGAGAAGATGAGGCGTGTGTACTCCCAGCCAATTGTGGTGAGGGGACATTCATTTCCAGTTGTCGGTCCAACGACCAGCGGACGAATTAATCCACTACGCTATCAATGCTGCACGTATTTGAGGGTATTCTGCCTGAGTTGACGAAGTCGGCTGGAAATTCATCCATAGGAATTGGCTCATACGAGTCTTCACAATGTAATCCAGTTCCGCAGTTCTGTCATCCTTCCCTGTTACCCGGAACGATATAACTTCCCCTAACCAATGACTTCAAGTAATAATACTGTAATAGTTGCTATAGACAGACAACCAGGAAGTCCTTTTTATTGGAAATAAGCATATTTATGTGGTAACTACAAACGTTGTCACCAGTCGAGGCAAGCCGTAGCATAACAGCAAGAACAAGTGTTTTTTCGAACAATAATTATAGATGCAAGCAACGAAAACGAAATCAGTCCATTTTTCCACTGCCTATCAAACATTAATGGTTTTTAAACCAAACGATAATTTATTTCATCGCCATACGGATTCGAACTTTTGTTGACTTGGGTTGTACTTGTTTAAACAATATACTTGTGTTGACGTTACGACTGAATTGAAATATTTTCCGTTTGTACTGCACTCTTGTGGGCAAACAAAATTGGGTAATTCTATTCTGGGTAATTGTTTGACTACAGGTTTTTGCTGTTTAGTCTGCAATTGCCTACACCATTGTCATCCCGAAGGGAGGCAACACAACGAAAGAACGGGTACAGCACGTCGCTGAAAATTATAACTTATCTAATTATTTCGCGGCCACATCCGCTGCCGGAGTGCGATCGCCTTTAGACTCTCTGCATGGCTAACTATTGCTCTGCATCAGAGACCCCTATGTAGACGCTACTACTGGAGGAGCAAAAAACGAACTGCAAAACCTGACTAAGTTTATCAGAAAAAGCCAACAGCAGGATGAACTCACGTTTGTCTACTTTCGAACCTAAGGCGACGACGGGTGTCTATGATGTCTCTTGCAGGTCAGGCAAGCCGGTAGGCATATTTCTAATCGCGGCTAGTATTACTAAGGCCAATGAGAAAGCCTCCTCTGCTACCGAAAGTAAGCAAAGAAATTTACAAAGTTGCACATTTTACATTGACCCTACGGGTCAGCAATGACCTTGTCTTCAAGAGCTGTGGTTGTTATCGTCGTTAATTACAGATAGCGAATTGCTGACACTGTCAATGAATAGAAAGCACAGCTATTGTGAAGAATGGCAAGACGTAATAGCAAGTGCGCATTGCCAAATGTATTGCATTTGTCACAATGATGGTGCACATGCCACCAACAAAAGAAGATATAGCCCCTTAGTGATAAACACATGCAAATATAATGGTAGCAGAAATCATAATAGAGTTACAGCTAATAATAGAGACACCCGTTCGACAGAAATTCAAGCAAGCTACGTAACGGGACGCAACAACGGTTCAAATCGGCCGATATGCGTTACATTATGTCTCGATATTCGTAAATACACTACTTGTCTTGTATGCAAATGTTTTAGACGTTTAAGATCCAAAGATACCCGAAGAGAAACAATGGCGGTACTCCACGACACACATATATATATACATATAGATATATATAATAATATTTTCATTTACGAAAGAATAATAATCAAAAGCAGGCGAACAGGCAGTCGATTGCGTACAAACGAAACCACAAAAAATCATTGCCACAAGGACGCGAACCTGTTTTCAAACTGACGACATAAACAACTGACAAACGGAAGTAGTGTCAACATTTCGACACTACAATCAGACTGTTAATAATATACCCTGATGAGTAATATACTGCTGACAGCTATAGTCTATCTTAACTGAGAGGGGTCGAAACAAAATAATATTAATGTCCTAATGAAAAGATTGAATACCTACAACTAACTCATAATACTTATTGTTACAGGCAGCTTTTCTTGTTCGCAATCTGTAGCCGGCAAGCAACAATACAGAGGAAAGTTTTGGAGGAAAGAAAAATTGATATCCAATGTTTTTTGCAGCCTTCGAATTGCTTGTGTGTTGTTCCTGTCTTTGAAGTCGGGACATCAGAGTCGATCACCTGCCTCGGCCAGCAAAGATAGCAATGGAAAGCCTGTAGCATACTCTCCCCAGGCAAACTATAGCCTGGATTTTGTCCTTTTCTTTATGCTAGTCTTTATGCGTAGCGACTAAAGGAAGCCGATAAGGAGATGTCTGGACAGTTCAGTTCTTGCTACTTCAACCAAGCAGGCATCGACAAATAGTGATTTCAGGGCTATTACTCCTGTTGCACACACAACGGATGCATTTCGATGCGTCTATGTGTTGTGACACTCAGGCTTGTGTCTGAAGCTTCTGCTTATCGTTGCTAAACGCAGAAGTAGTGATACGTACCACTCATCGATTTACAATTCACCGAATACACTATCGTAGACCGAGATCAACTGCGAGCTGGCAGCGACTACCACCATGTATTGAATCAAAGAATGATAAACGACATTTACTCTTTATTATCTGGTTCGCAATCTATTTTAGATGTACATTGATAGCGGTATTATTATCGGTGGCTGTCGTAGGTTCCGACAGAATAGGACTGTTCGATCCATCGTACCGCATTGGAATGGGCTGAAAATACGTGGCGCCAGCAGACGACACACGTGCAATACACACAGCCATACACACAGACCATCACGGATATACGATCAGAGAAAATGTAGCAAACACACGTAAAGAACGAAGAACCAGGAAGGTAACCCAGAAGTCACTATTCCCCTAATAACCGGTGATTGATTCTCTGATTCGTTGTATCAGACTAAACCACAGTCCGAAGTCAAGATAAACATCAGACATTCCTGTTGGATGTTCTAAGTAAACTATTCGCCAGTTGACACGCCAAACATCAACAGCCGAAACGACAATGCAAACGATGAACTACTACTACTACTGCTGCTGCTGTAACAACATCAGCAATAGTAGCAATAGCAGAAGCAATAAGCCCACAAGTTCGTAGCAACACAACAACAACACTCACCTCATCTGGTCGTACGTAGTGCGCAGTATCGGCCTTAACCTGTACTGCAAAACGCCGTTTGGTCTAATTCGCAACTTCGACTGCTTTTGGCCTAATATTTTTTGCAACCGATGGTCCGTGGTATCCGTTCAGCCTTTACCGCTGTCCTGGCCGTAACAGCGACAGCCTGTTCTAGCCACAGCACCTTTTCCTTGTGGGAAGCCGCTCAACAGTCGCCACTACGGCTGTCGTAGCCGTCCCCTTTCGTTCGTATATCGTACCACTACCGACGGCGGCAGGCACGAACACCAGCCAACAGAACGACTTGGTTGCTGCTGCTATCGTTGTCAGTGGCGACGACAACGCAGTGTTTGCCTCTACAAGCTGCGTCTGCTTTCGTACGGGAATAATCGAAAAGAAAGAAGCGACCCGCCAAACTTCCACGGCAACACTAGACACGGACGGCCAAGTCGCCGAACGGTGCAACCGCAATTGTCTCGTCGCCGAACACCAGTTATGACGAATGATAAGCAGACGATCAGCGCACGCAATACAATAACAACGTTCAAGGAAAATGGCACGAATAGAAAACACCGAGGGCGTCAGCACCACAGCAGACACAACCACAACAGAGCGCGAATAGATAGGGGCACACCGATGCCGAACACATACATACAGTCGACTTCGTAGTCATTGAGATTTAACTTTGTTGTCGCGGTTTTGAATACGATCTGACTACCCGCCAAAGGTATTGTCAGTTACGATCAGAAATAAATACACGTAGTAGCAGCGGTTAATAGGTGGACTACCGCTAAATACTGATTCGCTTATCAGCGACGGCAGCAGATAGATAGTGCTTTACAGATAGACAATGATTATCTTTGCCTGTACACGAGACTGGACTAGCTGAGTCGTTGCTCCGGCGGGCACAAAAGCGACACGCAATAGATGTGCTTGAAAACAATTTTTGTTTGTGAGACAGAATTTTTGGATCGCAGATGCATGAATAAAACTATAAGCGCGTAAATTATACGCTAATAATAATTGTAATTATGAAAATTGTAGTATATATATTTTTGCTCGCCGGCGGCATACCTATTAATGTATAGCTAAGACACGCAGCGAGAAACAACAGTTCGTGGAGGAAATTACAGATTGACGGGTATCTAATACAGAAAACGGGTTTGAAACTAGGAGCTAATATTTCACCGCGAGACACGTATTTGTTATTATATATTATTATATACCATATTTAAACTTTCTTGTATAGAAGCTTGTAAACAATTAAAAAAAAAAGCTTTCTTCTTTTTAGATATATGATGATGTTAAATCAACAATAACTGCTTCATACATCTGTTTGCATGTCCCATAAAGAGCAAGACGCCAAAAGAGGTTAGCAGTTTCATACAAATAACTATCATAGAGCTCGTTGGCGAGATCTGGCCGCACGGTAGATATGTAAATAGATAGGTCAGACCCTAGATTGATTCTCATTTAGTAAAAGATTTAATTATTGCAGCGCTTTGAATGTTTCAACTAACAGCAACTACCTCTTAGCTCCACGAGTTCAATAGAAAAATGATGTGTCGGAAACGTGAATTCGTTACGGAAGCATAATGTTTCATATGGACAAAATAGAAGAAAGCAGTTTAATCTGCTTTGAATTTTAAAAGAAGATATAGATTGATCACTGTCTGCGGAGACGCTATTGAATTTTTATAGGCATCTGGTGCTACTTATAGTACAACGAGGCTTCACAAGACTTTCCAATCTGCAAAGCTTACGAATCCTAAAGGCATCGCCGTCTCATTAGCATTTTTTTTCCAGTTAAATTGGCCTGTAAAACATGGGCACCCTAAACTCTGAAGTGATCATTGCATCCTATCTGACTTTCGTATCTTGATATTCAACCGAACCAAAATGGCCTCCGTACGTCCTATAATGAGCTTTTTTTCAAGCAAACACATGAGGTTTTATACTGTACTGACGTATAGTACGCTCTCCAACTCCACACTCGGTTTCCTTACTCTGAATGAAATGTCGCACAGTCTTCATATTATAAGTTACTGCAGAAATACTTTTGGCGAAGCCTTCACTAAAAACCCACTAAAAAACCAAGGAATTTCCTAGAATGGTTTTCTATAACAACTATAGAAATACAAAACCATATTGAATCAAAGGCTTTTTGACCTGATAAAAATTCGATCTGAAAATTGGAATTAAAGATTTAAAATCCCGTTAGAGAATCAACGGATCTCAGTAACAAACCGAATTGCTGTTTAGTTGGTAGTTAGTTGTCTATTCTTTGAAAAATCAATTTGCAGATCATATGACACAATGAAAGGGTTTGCAAGCCTTCCTTGAAGTGTTACCAGAATGCTACGAACGAAATGAACTGAAAAATGCTAATGCTACAGTGTCTAGAAATATTCAAAATATAACCTTTTTAAATTCTGTCAAATTCAAAATCTTCTTATTCCTCGTCGAAAAGTTCCATAATGCTTAATAAACAATAGCAACATTTACAGAAGTTTTTTATCTTCGGTTAGCTCTTTACGCGCACGGTAGATTTCTCCAGGGCTGCGCGCCAACTCGTTTCTCTTAACATAGAAACTTAACTTGCTGAAACGACCCGCGCTGATTTTACCCGCCGGTATTATGTACTTCCTATCTAGTTCTGAACATATAGTTCGTACACTAGTAATAGCGCTTTGAATATCCTTATGTAAACCTAAAGTAACCTTGCAAGTTTGCCGAATAAGCTGAAGAAATCAGTGTCAATAGCTAAAACGAAGCTTCTCCTCCATCGTTTGGCCGCAAAACTGGTTGGTGTCTCAACAACTCCACAAGCTTTTCCCTACTGGGCTACCGGTGACGATGAGGGTATCGCTCAGGACTTCTGTGTAATTAAATCCGTCTATGGTGACTTGTACATGTTCCTCTCGTTCTTTGCATCAGTTAAATTGGAGATACGTTTGTTCCGCTAAAATTTCGAAATAGGAATAGCGCATCTGAGGTGTTCCACTGAACGTATGCTAATCTGTGGCAAGCATCCGTCTGGATGGGTGGCCTTGAACGGCAACACGGACAAGCCCAGCCAATAAAGCACTGTCTAGTTGCTGCGACTGCTAAAACAGCCATTCAGTGTTAGTGCTACTACTTTCGCTTGTACGACTGTGCGGTTGACTATTACCGATAGCCCATTGTGTTGCAATGTTATTACGGTTACGAAGGCCAATCGAGCAGTTCAATATAACGGACAGAAGAAACAATTCAAGTGAGCGTATTCCTCAAATGCGGATATATTCTCGTTAAATGAAAATGCCGAGCTGGGGACTTTGGGCCCACATAGTTCAGTGCCACAATCAGTGTTGTCCCAGTGAATTCTCAAAACTATTAGGATTCTAGGGCTCCTCTTCTCATTCGCGTACGCTACAAACACACTCACACAACTTGGATAACTTGTTATCGATAGGTGGTTTAGGTTAGTAGCCACAGTGGCGAAAGAAAACGTTGATTAAGGATATCGGTTGCTCTGGCTGATGGTTAGCATCAAACCCCAACCTCCACATCCTTAGGCTAGTTATCATTGTCAGCTGATCGTGGCCAGCTGTTTGGAGTCGCAGGCGACATTGCAGAGAACGTCGTCGTTACTGTTCACTTATAGGCTTGTGTGTTTACCTTGTTAGAATCGTTGCGTTAAGCAGAAACAGCTTGGTCCCCTCACCATCATAAAGCGAACACAACCATGAAGAAGCATTTGCTCAAGGATTCTAAGATGATTGGACTTTCGATAGACGAATTCGTCTGACGTTTGCGCTCTGTTTGTGTGAGTCTGTAATTGCTCCATCAGTTAATCAATTGACAATATAATAAGCCAGCACTAATTTTGCTTAGGATCGAAGGAAAGCAGCTATGATCTGTAATACGGTTGTTATACAGACGTGTGGACAAAATGCTGGTCGACGAAAATAAAGACGATTAGCATCGTCAGTGGATCTATGATGGATTTAATCGTATTTAATCGAGTGTACTTACTTACACCGTGACAAACAGAGCTGTAGTTTTGTAGTGTTTTTACTTGTTTCATAGAAATCGAATGAATTAATCCAGGTGTTGAAGGTTCAGCTATTGTAATCTTCACTTACCATATCTTGAAAAACGGGGCATATAGGAGAATGTTATTGATAGTCTACAGTTTCAGTCTCGATGGACGTCTAGTAAGAGTCCGCTAGCCGCACCTGTCGCTAATAAGAGTTTCTGTTGTATCGCTCTGCTGCTGACTTATACGAGCAATTTCGCAGTTCAGTCGATTAAACATCTTTCAATCTGTTTAGTTCGTTTAAAGAAAGCGAGGTTCATTTTATTCGGAGAGTCATAACCTATTATTAATAATGAGTGTATGCCAATGAATGTATCATTTTAAGGTATGTCAATTTTAGTCTGTAAGTGTTATTATTACAGTATCAACTTGTCGTAATTGTTACTCATGTAATAACGTCTTATTTGTTAAATCAAGCTGATCGCGGATTTTATATCCCGTTGTCCTTAAGAAAATATGCTTTGTGGGGATCGTGCATACGCCCCACCGAACGACAACTGATTTGTGTTTTTCCTATAGAAAATATTTGAACCACTTATGACTTCTCATTTGTTTCGCACAGGAATACGCATGGTATATGTGACACATAACGTACGTTGTGTCACCAAATTACGAAAAAGAAATATTGATAATTACATATCGATCTTTTTTATTTCATAATTAGCCGATGACGGCTGTTGAGCGGCTGCTACTGAGTGGGAACGCCCGAGTGGTCTCCAACGTTTTCTCGCTACTTATCGCGCATTGAATCACTTCTCACTTCGTAGGCTACTGTCCTCAGTCGTCGGCCCAACAGAGCAGCCACCTCCGGCTCTACAGCATCTAGTAGATGACAACTGAAATAAATGCTACTCGCGCGGACTGACGACAATCGTCGAAGGAAAGATTTCCCAACACCATCTTTTATGTACGTTAGTAAAAGGCCCGACGCTAAAGAGAACTAAACCGCTACTATGCCATCTACTCTTATGCGTTCGCGTTCTTCAGCTGCTAACTTCCCATTTTACCTTTGGCGTGACGACAACCTTACCTATATTCAACCTGATTCTTCTACCATCCTTTTTAGTTGTTTCCTTTTTTAATAGCAGAACGCTGATCGTTTATCTAGTCTTTGTCATGCTTGATTTAGGAGACGCTAGTTAATTATATCTGAAGTAGAAGCAAAAAACCCTTTTCGTATCGCCGGCCGGGGCCAAGTTGAATCAGACAGGCATTATCTTCAATGTGTTGCAACCCAACAAGACAAAACGAAACGAAACATATTTCGAATCGTGATTCGATGGACACATCCAGGCAATCGCCTGAAAGAACTCCGATGTCAAAACAACGACAAACAGGCAAGCGTCAGCGTATATAGTATTAATATCAGTTTTATAGCGTTGATAAGAGCAGTGAATAGTATGGAAAGTCTCATGAAGACTATATGCTGCTAGCAGTCTTCGACATTAGTACGAAAGGACTTATTATATAATAAGCCCTTTCGTACTAATAGTGAATAACAGATTACTAAACGAAAGATACTTTGTCGAATCGTCTTTAAGTCAAAATAAAGTGATCGGTATAAGGCGTTACACACAATCCAAGTCTGAAGACTGTTTGTGCGAGTAGAACTGTACACCCGTAGTGTCTTATGATCTTGTCGTTACTGCCTCGCCAATCAATTTCAGCATTCCGACTCTTTTTAATTTAGTATGGTGGTTTCCTGAAAAATCGACGCTTCACACCCAGGTGATAGCACCCGACTCAATACATCTAATCCGATGTAACATGTAATGTAAAAAAAAATTAAAAAAAACAAAATGTACGTTAATGGCGTGTGCAGAGTTAAAAAGCCCTTGTATAGCAAGTTATGTTTTGCTTGTTCTAATATGCTAACATTTGAAGTGCTGGTAGGTTCATGTTTCCAAGGTCCTTAGGTGAATGTGTTCAGCACAACATGTAGGCGCGGAATCCTGTCTGATATTCTATCGAATTTAGCCGTGGCTTACAACACCAATAGGATAAAACAAAATTGGGTTCCATACCTCACGATGATCTTTACCTAGATCTCGACCGATACTACAGGGTCCTGAATCGATTGAAAATGCTGCATCGAACTGCGGGTGACACCTACACACAGTAATACCAATACTGAGAAGTACTGCTTACAAACTGGGCTAATTTCGAACACATATACACTCTGCTACCGGGATGACAGTGCGTTCGAAATTCAACTATCGTGCTAGCATGTATCGATTGCATAGAGTAGTTCCGCATGCGAGAAGGACTGAGATACGTTTTTAACAGCTCGTTACAGCAACACAGATCGCATATTGCATCGTTTTTCCTACTAACGATTTCATAAAAATAGTAATCGATATGCTTGCATCATCATATATCTGTCACAACAAAATCGTGTAATGCTTATTAAAAATGGTTGTTGCCAAATTTTTACCTTATATATGTTGTGGCACACGTATAGGATATAGGAATTGCAGTAAGTCTCCATGTGGGATTGAATCGCGTTTCATGAGGTCGTGTTACAGAACCGAACTAAATGTCTGTATTTCTTGTATTTTTTTTTTTAATGTGGGTTACCCTGAAATGGCAAACAGCAACGAAGCTTTGTGGCTAACCTAAAGTATCATTGATTTTTGATCCGCTTGTAGATAGCTCATCTTCGCCTGTAGATTACCGGATCTCACTAAAACAAATCTAGTTTTGGCAGCTTTTCCGTAACCAAACTATTTGTAGGTGGTACTTCCGGCCGATGGTTACAATGTCACTGTTCCCTGAAAGTATTGCAGTTAAACGATAGTTATCACAATTAAACGGCGGTACGTCGACGATAAATAGGTTTAGGGAGAAGCTTACTGTCTTGCCGAAAAACGTCCATTGCGTAGCGTCAACGTATATCCAGATAATGACACAATGGTTCAAGCGTACAAAAACGTGTTTTCCCACTAATCATACGCAATGTTTGGTCAACAGCTAGACTGCATATACTGCTTACCATTTTTTTTTCTGTCGTAAATCCTTATTACAACACGGCCGGCGGTCTACAAGTGGAAATTATAAAATCGTTGTCTCTAATTTAATAGGATTATTTTGTTGTTTTTATCGTTGTTGTTTTCTCTGAATGCTAGACGGAACTGAGGTATTTGACGATTGCTGCTATATCGCTGTTAAAGCATTTTAGCTCCTAAGGTCCGAACCTGTGTCAGCTAATACCAATAAATGGTACCTGTAACAATGTTGGTTGCTTCGGGGCATTTTACCGCAGGAACGGTGCAATTAAATAATTGACTGTCGTTTTTGTGTCTTCTACGATTTTACAATTATGGTCACTATAGTAACGTGACATTACTCAACAAAGAAAGCCCGCGCCACTGCCAGCGCAAGCATCGGTGTTCGCTACCTGTCAAGTTCTATATTATGTTTTTGCTATTGTAGCGCTGACGGCATGCATTATTATTTAGTTAGGCTCTATGCTGCCGGCATAGGATAAACCGTGAAACCAAGACAGGATAGAAAGACAGCCATGATAATCTAGTATGATAATACACGAGATTGATGTCGCACCGTTGGCAAACTGCTTCTTGTAGAGGCGATACAGGTTTACAACGGTCGATAGTGTGTAAAATTATGCAAATGGTCTCGCTTCAGTCCGGTTCGTCAATTACGTTTGCACTAAGTACATCGCGTACAGTGGCAGATGCAGTCATTTCGAGTTTCGGCCACAGGTGACTTTTATCTGTGGGTTTTACTCCATGGTGTGTAACAATAGGCAGGTATACTGGTCAGACCTCGATGTATATGCTATCCTCTGATACTTTACTAGCAATGCGTAAACCTTTTTGTCCAGAAGCGCTATGTACAGCGTAATATCCATTGAGCAATAATGGATAATCAGTGTGCTGCTGTGTATCGTATCAGTGATGTGATATTGTATTCATATACATTAAATTATTCATATAATTTATATACTAATTGTGTATATAAATGAACTTATATACTTAACCATGCATGTCCGCGCGCCTTTTACTTACTATACATGTTAATGTTAGATGGTAGTGTCCCACACTGTTGTACCGTGATCAAGGTCTTAGCCCTTTCGCCCAGCGGTACCTACCGAGGTGAAGCCACTTAAAGCGCTCTAGCGCCTCTCTACATGCCCAACATGTACAGCCTGTAAATAACGCAACAGTAGGCGGGATATACCCATCTGGGTTGTACTTTGGGCCGCAATGTGCAATACTTTGCGTACAACAGCGCAGTAGAATTCAGTTTCTCGGTTTGTGACTCTCGATTACGGTGACAGTGACTTAAAAAGTTAAGCTTTGTTTGGTTCTTCGACTTCTGCCTGCATTGTTTTCACAGCGTGTTTTGCCTGAAGTTTAACTAGTAGTCGATATATTTGATCGTATCGGGTGACTTAGAGTCTTCTTTTTGAGAAGAGATAATACAGTGTGTGAGAGATTGAGATTTATGATCTCTACGTTCATTACAGGTATCCTCTTTAAGGGCGAACTATGGCGGTGATCTAATATTGTGCTGAGAGGTATCGTCCGCTATCGGGGACAATAATTGATATGTATTCTGTTGACAGATCTGACTAATGTGGCTATCCTATACATACGGTGCCTCGTAACGCATTATCTATTTGCCTATACCATTCTCACTAAATCCGCTTTATGCTGATTTGAATCTTGCACTTTGGCTAAGATCTCAAAAATGATTTAGAAGAAATCTTTTTTCTAAGCAGCAAATTATTTTTAAGTTATGATAGGCATATTTTAGGCACCTCAATTTTATTATGTGGTCGTACCAAGTGTAACTTCGTGTGCTGGTCCTATCCCAGAATGAAATGTATTAACTGCCTCTCTAAATGCTAGACGTTTACTGGTTTCATATGTTTCGCTAATATGTGGATACCTGTACAATATCTACAAACATCCTGCACTTTTCTTGTGAAAGTTGCTTTCTTAATGATGAACTGTTCGCTTTATTGGGATCTCTAATGGTCTCTTTATGATTAATGGTATTTTAACAGAACCTGCTTGCTAGGGCATCATGTGCGATTCTCAGTAGTACCATCTCAATATATTCTCAGTCATATCTTTATTTTGGTTCTTTGTTGAGAGGTCATACTTTGCAAAATGTGGCCTCCATTGACCAGGAGTACCACTCCAATGCACATTGGACGCTTGATTTTCGACCGTCACAAATAATCGCTTGGACACATAAGCTTTTTACAGAGTTAGCATTTATATTATCGGCACTAGGCTTAGTTGTGTTCAGTTTAATTAACTCGACTAAATTTTCTAGTAACATAACATTTTTAAACAATTTGAAGCTTATAAACCATATGAAGTATTGTATTGGCAGATTATAGATGTCTTCCTGTTTATTATCTACTTTTCAATAGTTATGTGCTTATGATTGACTTAACCGTTTTTTCCATTATCGACAGCTTGTCTAACAGAATCGACAGCAGGCTATACTATCGTATTTATTATTTTCTTTGATACATCAAAGCAATCAAATTCGCAAGGATTTATGAGGAGAACATACAAGGCAGAGGCCATTGCTCGATTATGTTTTTTTCGGTGTAAGTTGTGATTAAAGTACGATTATGAAATCGTGTGTTCCCATTGAGTAACCACACGGTGTGCTACCAAATGCTCCTGGTTTTCTTAAAATGACATGCAACCTCTTACGTCCGAATTTATTAAATGTTACTGATGTTGCTCTCTTACCTGTTCGACACATCTTGGCATGCTCTGATTTGTTCAAACGCTTCCGTAATCACAGCAATTCGTTCGCCCGTCTAAGATCTCGAGGTATAGTCACCTGCTTTTTGATCTTCAGCCATCCAATTTTCATTCTCAAGACATGTATGCATTGGTAATAAACTGTTAATTCTGAAGATAATCGAATTTTACCGGCGCCCCCAACTTTGAGAAACAGAAACTTAGACACTAAACGAAGCCTTGGCCTATCGTTTTTAAAATTTTCTTCCCTAAGGTGATTCTATCATATATATAGTCATGCATAATCAAGGGCTTCACGTTAATATTTACTAAATTTAGCCTTCTAGAAGCGTACAGTTAAAATGCTATTCAAATTCTTTGAGTGGTTAAGTAGCTCCAAGAAAACTAAACAATGAAATTAAAAACTCATCGCAGCGGAGAGTTATTTAGAACAAGAGTGAAGATTAGCTATTGTTCAATGTCTCTTCGCCGAACGAATTTCCATCATGGCTAAAAGCTAACTAAAAAATAAACGGTCAATTTCCTCGCCGACTTTGGAAGGATTTTTATATGCTAATATAAAAAATCCACAATAAGGACTAAATAGAATGGACACAAAACTAATCAAAAGGACCATAAGATAGTGTCTGTCCAAGAATTTTCATGGAGATATTACGGGCTACCTTTAAGATAAGATTACCTATCGTTTCAAGGGTCGGTCATATAAAGTATAACGTTGAGCTTTCTGGTCCCTTATATTTTTGATTTTGGTCCAATGTAAACCTATGTAAAGATTTCTGAGTGTAACGTTCGCGAACGAGACTTCAACGAAGTCTTACCGCTTAAATATAATTTCATTAATGGTTCATTTCTTCTGCGATTTCATCGAGCAAATTTTCGAAAATGACTTGCGAGTGACTTAACCATGTAAATCATGAATAAGATGAATTATATTAACATTTAGTAAATACTAAGTTATCACTTCTATCAGGAATGTCTCAGTCGGCATATTTAAAAGATTCATCCAGTTCTTTATTTTCTTTTAGAAGCAGTATACAAACAAGCGACCTTAGTTTTGTCCAAATTTACTGTCAATATTTTGTGCAAATTATGTCGAAAACTACATTCAGATATTTCGTGATGAACCCAAACATGAAAATGAGCTCAATAAAGGACCCATTTTAACAGTGCCACCTTTGGCTTATAGTCCTGAAATATATATAAATATGAGCTTGGTATAAAAGCGTTGGATATTTTGTTTTAAAATAAAGTTTAATTTTAGTTAATAAAAAGTCTATCAATATCTAATTAGAATTTTTTCGCGTTTGTTTCCATCTTAATCCATTTTTCCATTCTCCATTTTTCATGTAGCGGATATACAATCTTCTTTTTTTGTATTGTAGAGAGAAAGCGCTTGCTGTTTATAATGAGCAAAACTGCTGCAGACGCTTGTACAGTCGTCAGCTGTTTCTGGTGCAACCCCTTGGTCGCGTCATTATTTTCAGCCGCGCGATAAATGCGGGAGATGAGCGAGACTTCGCGAGCATGCTACCCTCGGGCAGTTCTATTGCATTATAATACTTTCTAAGCCATTTCTGGACTTGTCTTCTAACCATCGGTTGATCGTTGCTTCTTGCAGTTCAGTGACTATCTGCCCCGTAAATTTCAGGGGGTTACTATTGGCCAATAGATCATCCATTTTGCTTACTTCAGGACGTGCTCTTTCTAGAAAAAATAGTGAAAGTCGGTCTACTAGCCTCATTCGCCGGCACTACTGAGTCAACCATAGGCTTTGTATGTGTTAGCCTGTATTGCCTTATGTGGTATGGATGCATTTGGTAGACCACGTTTGCGATGATCAGGGGAGAGTGGATTTCAATTGTCCCAGTCCATAGAGAAAGGGAAGTGGTTCTGTTTGGCCGTAAGAGGACGATGACTGCCTTAGACTGTTTAATCTTGACATAGGCTAACCAAGCGGCTGATGCAACAATTTCGCTTAGTCAGCATAACAAACTTGTTTTCGCAGATAAACCTAAGAAAAGCTAACATCAGTGATTGAGACCACTTGACTCTGTCAGGCAGCCTTCTACTGACTGACCATGTTTCATCGAACTGGCATAGGCACTAGTAAGTTTGTTTTGTAGTAACAACTAATTCCTCCTCGTTATCTAGAGCTTTTATTATAAGTTCCAATTTGAGCAGTGGACAACCTTCTGTGATAACTGGATTGTCTATGCAGAACTATAAAGTTACTTTTCATCTATTTATTTAAAGATTGGATAGCTAAACACAATATCCCGACCCCTATAACTTCTATAAGCACTGAAATGCTCAAATAAAGTGTACTTAATTTTTTTAAAATTTCAAACATATTTCTGTTAGCAAACAAACATCAAAACCGAGTAAATTTTCAAAATAAGAACAAAAACTTTCTATATGCGCAATTGTGCAGTTACAATGAGTTTGCCTTAAGACTCTTTGAAAGGATAGAGGGGCGGTTTAGGTTCGAATTCCGTAGATAATCTTAAATCCTCCAATAAACATCCAAGTGATATGAAAGGCGATACAATTAGAACTTCTTATTCTACTCAAAAGTGTCTGTGATTAGACAGGTCACGGGCGGACTCGATGACCAGCGCTATGTATTCTTGGCAAACATCTTGCATCGTAACGTTCCCGTTCAGAAGCATGTCTAGATGAGCACTATCAACTAAGATTAAAACGACATTATTCAATTTTAGCTTCAATGGTGTTTAATTTTTCCAATTGTTGCGATAGTAAACAGTTTTTATATAATTATTATTGCACTTAGAAACAACTGAAGCCTAACGTACATAACTCAATTTTTGTCCTTCAGGAGAAGTAGTAACTTCACGCAGCAAGCAAAAGTGAACAGTACGATGTCACATAAAACGGTCATGGAAAACGATATTGTTAGTTTCTTTGGAGGTGGTGATGACGACAGCAACTCATCGTGCTCCGACTCAGACGAAGTTTACAGCGGGGGTTCCTCCGCCTCATCATCATCATCTGGATCGCCTCCGTGTACACCGCCGTCATCAGGGCATCACGGAAGACATCACCTCGCAGGCATTAAGAATCGGATGTCTCAGATGCAAGAAATGGCTGACCAGAACCATAAACAGAAACTACTTCGGCAACACCAGCATATGATCGTGGACGCAACGACCAATTCAAAAGAGCGTTACCTGATCCCGGAGCCGTCTGACGGCAATGTTGAGTATAAACTTAAACTAGTCGAGCCATCGGAAAGTCGCTTCGAGCATCTGGTAACGCAAATGAAGTGGCGTCTACGCGAAGGCCAGGGTGAAGCTATCTACGAAATTGGTACATTCAATATTTACTGTATGAACTGTATAATTTTTATAATAATATTATATACAAAGGATATTTTGGCATATATTAGAGTTTATATTGGTGTGTATATGTGTGATAAATAGCAGATTCGCTTCGTTTAAATGGACATCACTAAGTTGGTCATTTAGTTTAGTTGAGTTAAGCAACAAAAAACAGGTAGAACAAGCGGGTGAAATACAAATACATTAGTGTAGATCAAATAGGAAGCGATCTTAGATAGCATCACATGGTTAGAGTGGACGTGCACAACAATAACCTTCCACATCATTATTTTTGATTCGTTACCATTAGTCTTATCTGTCTATTTAGATTTCTGGTAAGTACATGTTTTACCTGGCTTACTCGGTTCACTTAGTTACGTGGGCAGTAAGCACGTAATCGTGATTTCTCACTTAAGAGATCAGACATCGAATGTGATACTGTTATCTACATCTATTTAACTAGAAAGTTTCAATGATTGTTGTACCTCTAAACACCCTATAGTTACTGGGATGGTATTATTGCACTTAAGCACACGCATCGTGGCACCGCTGACCGTTTATGTGACTCGGAGTCATTCGCTAACCGGTATACGTAATTGCTTGTGGCTTGGACAATTAACGATAGATGTGCTACGGTGAAAGTTGTTTCTATACTCATGAACACGATTTAATGTGTAAAGCTAATCAAGCTTGCTTCTGCTGCCGTAGCTGCTGGTTAACCGCTGTCATATGTGCTATTCTTAAAAGGTTTAGCGTGATAGTTCACTACTTACCATTAGATAATTGCCGACAGGCTTATGGGTAGTAGCCAAAATTTTCGCTTCGAGAAAGGTTTGCCGTTATTGAGATTTATCTATACGATAGATAAAGCGAGTGGACTCTCACTCATTAACTTTAATAGCTCTCCGTGAGTAGCTGCTTTCTCCACAAGATGTTCAACACGCGTCTCCTTCTTTTAATAAATGTGCTTTACATGTCACTGACTTGACTCAGACACAATGTGCTTTTGTCTCTCTGATCTGTTATTGGGGTCGAATAGGTGTTGAAGATGGTGGATTAGTGGTCGGTCTAAGTCCTACCGAACTGCAGGCTTCTCTAAGTACCCTCTATCGGATGGCGGCCAAACTGAATGCGGCAGTGAGTATTGCCGACGAGCGTGTAATAATGGGGGAAAGAAAATCGGTTGAGGTTCGCATTAGAAAAGTACCTGAGAACCAGCGTACGATTGAGCTTCGAGTTGCTGTCCTTGGTCACGTTCATGCGGGCAAATCGACCCTACTTGGGGTACTGACTCAAGGTGAACTAGATAGTGGTCGAGGGTTGGCACGCCTAAACCTGTTTCGTCACCTGCACGAGATTCAAACGGGACATACGTCAAGTATATCGAGGGAAATACTCGGCTTTGATTCGGGTGGAAAGCCACTAACATACGGGCAATATCGAACAGCCGAGGAGATATGCGATAACTCGTCAAAGGTATGGAAATTTGAGTAGACTACATAGGATTGTACTCATTTATATTCATCACTTTTTCTAACGGTCGAAAGCCTCACTGAAAGAATGGTTTAATACAGAGGTAAAAACTGAGAGCACCCTAAAAAGGCCGGGATGTCTTACATAGTAGCATTAATCCAGGGACATTAATGATGAGTTATGCCAGTTTTTTCAAACATTCTACTTGTAACATCAACTCGTAACAGACAGCGGAAGTTCAACGATCGGACAGTTTGGTGGATTACATTTGTGGGGATAGAGGTGTTTGGGACGATTTTATTCTTACCTCTAATCTACATTACTTTGTTAAAGGTCATCACGTTTATCGATCTTGCCGGTCATCAAAAATTCCTGAAAACAACGCTTTTTGGTCTGACGGGTCACTCACCACATTATGCTCTATTAGTCGTTTCGGCTGTATGCGGGCTCATCGGCACCGCACAAGACCATCTGCTTCTTCTTATGGCTTTGAAGGTTAGTTGAGCTGGTCGCTAATAAATCCGTCGTCCTGCTTTACGCGGCCTAGGCGTAAGGACACTGGTGTCTGCAATTTTCGCATAACTTGTTACAGTCTCACCATTGTAACAAGCACTTCACGCTTTATAGGTTCCCATTCTCGTCGTAATTAACAAGGTCGACGCGGTTAGTACCGACACCCTACTAAACACTCTGGCGCAGGTTGAGGAAATGCTTCACAAATGCGGAAAACAACCCATCGAAATTCTGGAAGAGGACGATATCCTTCCCGCGGTACAGCAGCTCGGTTCAGATCGAGTGTGCCCACTCTTTATGGTCAGCTGCGTGAATGGAACCAGACTGAACCTGCTGTACGCATTTCTTAATGTTTTACCAGCCAGGTACACCGTAGAGGAACGTGAGGACCTCATGCAATTGTCCACATTTTTTCAGGTGAGGAAAGCTAGAAAAGATCTGTAAAATGAACACCGTCGTAGGCAAAAGGTAGATAATATAAATTATAAAACAGCTCTACAAAGCAGCTGTAGATTTTAATATTTTCGGACCGCCAGACTGCTCGACATATAAACGCCTATACCCAGGCCTATGCAAATATTGGTTTCTTCTCAGAACAATGAATCGCACCAGGCTATAAAGTCAGCCAATGTATATTGTTCATGATAGATTTGTATACTGCTATCATTTCTAGTGATTTGTAAAAGTAACATAATATTATTAACCACTATGTATGTTCTCTGGCGTTTTCGTTTGTCTGTCTCTTCTAAGATCGATGAGACCTTCGACGTGCCGGATGTCGGCCTAGTCGCAGCTGGCCTTCTAACAAAAGGTCTTATTCGAGAGAGCGACGTCCTTCTAGCTGGTCCTGATCATACAGGGGAATTCCAACGGGTTAGGGTCGCATCCCTGCATTGGAATCGCGTCGCATGCAGTGTAGTTCGCGCGGGAGAAAGCGCCACCCTTGCTCTGGATGTAGAGCGGCCACAGGCCATTCGTAAAGGAACAGTGCTTTGCGCACCAAGCGCTAAGCCTGTGGCCGGGAGGTTGTTTCAGGTAAGCTTTGAATGCACATTAGTATAAATGTATATACGTATTAGACGTTTGATAGATTCAATTTTTCGAACCCAATTAACTGAAAGGCTGGTGCACCAAGTTGTGGTACAAATTGTAAAGCATCCAGGCTTTTTTCAAGGAAACCCGTGAACTGAGTATATTTCGCTGTTGCTCTCTTCGGCTCGTTGACGTATTCATTTAGGCACACGTGCAGGTACTTAGCTGTGACGGCGATGAGCCCATACGAGTCGGATTCCATGCCACAGTTCAAGTGGGTAACGTCCAGCAGAGTGCGGTGGTAGCAGGAAGCGTTGAAGGTAGGACCGAGATGCGGCAAAATGATACAGGACACATTTGGTTCCGATTTGTGAAACAGCCTGAGTGCATCAGTCCAGGCACGAGACTCGTATTTCACCGAAACGGTACCCGTGGCATCGGGGTGTTGGAGAAAATGTTTCCGTTAACTCCAATGGAAACTGAAGTTGACCTCGATTCCGAGGAATAAAGCCACAGAAAATGAAATGTAAAATGGGGAGTCTGCGTGTATGACATATTGTGTACAAACCACAGGCCAAAATATCACGAAGTTAGTCATGTTACAAAAAAATCGGCGAACATCTGTGACGACGTGGGTCGATCACCGGACGTTGTACGTGCGAATGTAGTGGATGTATATAAACCTGCACACAAAAGTGTGCAGACAATAAGACTGCACAGGCCTAACTCCATTAAGCAGTGAGGGGCAAGGGCAGTTGGCTGAATAATGTGAACGAGACCTAAGATATTAATATTGTATGTTACCCTAAATACTTTAAAGTTGAATGGTACCAGTAACCATCAAATGGGTTAGGGTTTTGAGAACACACTGGACTCAAACCGCAAAATTCACCATAGTATTGCGATAACGACAAAAGAAGAAACGAGGTCATTTATGAAGTGATGCAATTTTTGGTTAACGTCTGTAGTAGTTTTTTAAATGATGATTGTAGGACATGAAGTGTATAAAGTTATGCAAAAGAATAAAGGAACTATGTACATGATCTGTGAAAAAAATTGTACAGAAACAAATACCCAAAAAGTAATAGGAAGCCTAATTTACATACTGAACTTTATATAGGCATGACAGGTGAAAACTTGTTTAAACTATCCAGTTCTAGTTATAAAAATAAGCATGATGGAGCAAGATTGTCATAACCTCTCCCGAACGACTATATTTCATCTATCTCAGCTCAAGTAAAGTGATGGGGGGTTGTGGTTTTAGACACAATCGATTCTCAACACTTTGCGGGTTCGAAGTAATTTTATAGGCCAACGAGGCATATCGCCCCTTATCGGAACATTATGTGTACATAGTTTAACTGGATTCATTATGACGATGACCGGGAGGTATGACACACTACCAGTTAGAACTTTGAACCTAGATCCCGAGTGTACCTTAAAGCGCTGCATAGAACAGGAATCCTTTTTAAAGCTAGCATTTTAGCGAAAGTTTACTAGAGGAATAAATCTTTTTCCTTAAAATATATATATATATACACTTTGTACCGTATTTTCTCTTCCTGTATTTAAAATGCAAGAGTCGAAACACCATTCTGAGTTGATAGCAAAACTCCGACACAATGCATACCTAATATCGTACTTTTTTGCGTTTCTGTGTTATGGATGTATTTCTCTATCCAGTTTTTTGTTTGCATAACGAATGAATGTGGTTCCAAAGCAATACTAACTCACCTTATGGATAGGTATGTCATTCTGCCTAACGTGGATTGTGCGCTTTATAATGACTCTGTGTAATTTTTGTCGCCAAGTCAATCTGACTTTTTTCCTGCTAAAAATAAGCAATATATCGGCTAAATTATGCGAAAGCAGGCGTAGGTCGGAAACAAGGCCAGCTTTCCATTTTTTGTTTTCCATTAACACCGAATATCCCGAAAAGATCCGTGTGTGCGAAAGTTGTACAACTGATCAGCATGCAGCTAGAATGAACGATAAGAGATACATCTATATAAAGAAAAAATCGTTCTGCTATGAAACAATGTAACGAATAACTAATAATCCAAAATGAATATGAAAAATGACGAAAATTAGGTTATTTTGACGAGCTTTTGAAATGAGGTAAGTATAACATGACCTGTACATATGAGATTAATTTATAAAACGTAAAAAAAGAAACGTACGACTAACAAACGCAGGATCAACGTAGTTAAATTCTAGCTTTGACCAAAAGCAAAGATCAGTTTAAATGTTTCGAGCCAAGCCTGCAGATGGTAACGAAATAATGACGATGACCCTTTCTAATTAACTGTAAGATTTAGAAAATGCGTACGTTACTTTGATAAGATACGAAAAAAAACACGTAACGGCATCCTATATAAACCAGATAAACGTCGACGGTAATTGTCAACAATGCGACTGCTTTAATATTTGGTTTTCGCTGGTCACATTCCCTCAATTTTACTGTTATTTAAAAGTTGCTACCGTAAATGATGTCAGTTAAGTACACTCACAAAAAACGTTCCGCAAGAGACGCAGGATATATGGAACGGACAAAAAGCACTGACCGGCTGCATCCAAGATGTTTTTCTCTCGGAAAAAATAAAATATGTATTCTAAGTATATTGAGGAGAGCTCATTTTACCTTAGCTAACATATTTAGTAGCGATAACAATAGCTGCAATAATAATACAGTCAATTATTATTAACGACAATTTTTTCATGGGACAAAGCAAGAAATTCAAATATAAAAACCTAGTACAAAATAAAACATCTAGCTCGTGCTAATTTGAGCATAAAAACCAGTCATGCCTATATATAATCTATATGTACTAAAAAATGTATATTCTGTTAAACGAGCTTTGTTTAACAGAATATACATTTTTTTTTTATAAGCGTTCTTTTTTTCTTTTCGGGGTATTTTAAATTGGAAATAATGGACCAAGATTGACTTTTGAAACAAGTTTAAAATACTATTAGAGTTAGAAATGCAGTGACAGTACCTCAAATGGTTTTAGACAGACTTGCCTACTAGGCTTACGGTGGAATAGAAGAAAAGTTGTAACAATTCAGGATGTTCATAAACCGCTATGAGCGGGTAAGTTCATACTGCCCCATCTACGCATATATTATTCGACTGAACTCTATTGATTTATCAATCGATTTCCGTACTAAATATTTCTAGTCCTAGTCCGGAACAGAAATAACTATTTAAGGGAGTTCTGATAATTTGTCAAAAATATATCAAGTGAGTCAAAGAAGATACGAGCAGCCATTGTCGGATTTCTTCACAACGGCTGCAATCAAATGTCATTGCCATCCTAAATATAGGATGATGGAGATTTTACGATTCTACAAACGTAACATGCACCACGCTAATCTCATATGCATACGAAATCTTCTCCTGAACCTACATTGCACTGAAGACATACGGTTTCCGTTCATTTTACACACTGGTTATAAGAATATCGACGTTGTACAGTTTACAGATGTCGCCTGTACAAGGAGGGAGAGTTCACGTGCAGCAACGGTAGGTTCACCTTTCATTATACTCGCATCGGTGTTAACCGAATGTTACAGGAACCTCTTGCAGGACATATATGGAACTTCGAGTAAACGTTTGTTTATTGAACTTTGAAGACCCTGAGGAATTCGAGGAGATGCTATCTGCTTCTAAAGCAATGATGGTCATCAGTACCTTGAAGTATCGTTTATTCCATTATTGTAAGAATCTCATTTAGAAGGTACTCAGGTAAATCTATTCAGCTTCCTACTACTAGCATACGAGTGCGTTGGCTGCGAACGGTGAGCAAATTCCTAGGGAGATAGCGATATCATAATACATTCCCTTGTGAATTCGATTTGCTCTATAGTGGAGTCCGCGTTTATAATTAGGTAAAACAAGCGTCGATTTTTCCAGTGGCTTTGTTTTACTGCCAATTGATCGTTTCTACTTTCGCCTATGCATCAAAATCCATCTCCTTATCTATCTATGCTTTTCGCTGAATCGCTTTCATACGGTCAATTAAACAGCCCGCTGCTTCAAGGCTCAGCATAGAGATATTTTTTCACTCAACCAGAGTCCGATTCCATCGGTTAACAATGCATAGCAGTTCAGCTCGAACTTGACAAACGGTAGTACTTAGTGTTAGATTATTCGAGCTAGTACTGTTAATTTCCATTTATGGAACTAGAATAAAGTCATTGTTTCGTTAAACAGGGGAAGAGGCATAGGAGCGTGCCAAAAAAATCTACTAATTTTCACTGGTTCGAGGCCTCTGTGCTTTCGCTGTTCGAAAAAATAATAACAATAACAGCGTGTACCAATATCAGTTGCTTTTAAAAGCAAACTCATAGAAAGAACGTATATATAAAACAGCACTTCAAAACGTGCTGCAGCGCTAGCCTTGCCCATTGAAGATGGCAATCACTTTGGTAATAACGTTTAATAATTGAATGTGGAGAGCAAGTTTAGCACATGCGCTACAAACATCAGATGGTTTACTTAAACTTATCACTAGCTAAGGATGAGTAGAGTGCCTTCGATGAACTGAGCAATTTATAAACTGTACATCATGGACATACATTGATTGCCTTATGCCGTTCTCTGTTTAGCTCATGGACACTCTTTGACTCGTCGACATTTAGGTACTAGATTAATTCACATTTATTCGTTCACATCCCTTATTTTTCTATAATAGCCGTAATAAATGCAATAATTCTGTGCTCAATGGTCATTTTCCGATCGTTGCAACACTAGTTCAAAAAAGCCAAAATTAGAGTGACTACGAAAGCATCATTTGATGGGTGTCCACCGCTTCCACTTAAGGCTTAATGGCAAATTGTCCAAAGTAGAAAATTTTTTAGACGTCAACAATCAATAGCATTGTCGCTATGAGCCTTACACGCTTCTAAGAAGGACAGATCCTAATAATAGAAATAAATATATTTTTCAAAGTCCGTAAGAAAAGTATGGTAGACGCGTATTCCTTCTTGTGAAACGCAGTTGCGCTTTATGATACTGTCAAAACACGAGATTTACTTATATAAAATATGATGGAACCAATACGACAACAAAAGTCTAGCCACTTTGTTGCTCTTAACCTAAGTTAAACTTCATTCGTGAGTGGATCGTGATGAATAGTCGACATTATCCAAGTATCGTAGTTAGTTGGAAAGGAACACAGAACGCTCATTATTTAGCCTCTTGCTTATCACTTCGGTATGATTTACAACGAATTTGACAATGATACAGTGTCTAGACTTAACCATTGATTCATGGGAATGATATATTATTCAGTTTTCAACAGTTGCAGATGGAAGTGACTTTGAATTATCAACACGCTATGGGTACTAACCACGGAAGCAATTACTGGCGGTCTTGCCTGGACCGTCATACGAGCAGTTGTCATCAGGATTTTCTTCCCTAACGCTAGCTGAGCTCTCACAGTTACAGCTTCATCTTCGAAAGATATTTGCTTCCCTTGGGAGAGTAGCTTTTAAGCGCTGTTAAATGGTCGTATAAAGGCGCCGCTGTCATCGTGTTCCTACCTTTAGAATTTTACTGACAGAAAAGTTTAACAAGTCATTTCGCCGTCGGAGCTTTCAAGGCAAGAATCTATCTACCGACTGTGCACGGTCCCATATTTTCTAGTCGGATATATACATGCCTTCATGTGTGTTATTAATAGCAACATATTGCATAGAAATCATTGTAAAAACAATATATGATTTCCGCGGAGTTGAAACTTAGTTAATGAATATAATGAGATTATTTAATCAAACATGACACAACAGTATACAAAAAGCAAGTTTGTAACGCACAATTTTCTAGATGTCAATCCTCAGGCTTCTTCATCAGCCTTATTTGCAACAGACTTCGAAATATTACAGTAAATCCAAACCACAGATCAATGGCAGCGTTTTAAATCTCAGCCGCAATAGAACACCCTTTCGTAAACTGTTTATTTTTCAGCGCAACTTTAAGGCTGAAGCCTAAGAAGTCGCATTTCTCTCATTATTAAAGTATCTCTTATTCTACATTTTTTTTTTTTAGAAAATTTGTTTTCTGAAAAAGAATATGAATTTCTCGTACACAAAGAAGGATAATTTAGATTTTAGTTAGGTGAAAACGACTCGTAAAACTCTTAACGTTTATTAAGTGAAGGTAGTCATCCATATGTACTACTTTCATAGGGCAATTGCGACTAAGAATAAATACCACAGCGCTAAACATAGTGATACTTATTGATTATACTTCGATGGTGATGCTCCAACCATCAAAGTGTAATCACCAAAATAAATCCTTCCATCAGCCCAGCCGTCCGCTCGTCCGCAGCACAAAGTTTACTCAGCGGCTGCACATCGATCACTGATTGCTAAAGTCAGATAGAATCGAAGAGGTTAGTCATACTGTGCAAATATCATTAATGGTTTCTAAGAATTCCCAGATTAGCCTCTGATATCGGACTGGCCGGCTTCTCCCCATTCCCTTAATTGTATTTCGTCACTCGAACGCCATCGGCTGCTTCACCCCGTCGAAAGCCTTTGCAACATCACAGACGCTGACGGCGGTTCGCCACCAACTTTCATCGGTTCGGATCGATCCGTAGATCGTCGACGCTCAATAGCAATACGCTGCTACCAGTCCGTTCATTTCGCTTGTAACAACTATACAGTATAAAAGTATATGCTTTAGTTCAGTTTATTTGTGACCAGTTTTCTCTGTTTCAAAACCTGGTGCCCCTGAATCGATAGAATCAGTCTAACTCTTTACCACCTTGTCGTTCCGCCTGATCTGTCTGAACCAAGCAAGGGACCGTTGCCGCTCGCCCGAATCTGGCGCCGTCTGGTGGCCAAAGTTTCCACGAGATGACTACCGCCGTCTCTTCTGCAGCAGCGCCAAAGACAGGTTGGGCTATAGCGGCGCTGCCGGCGCTTTACTCGAGAAACGGCGCGACTCTGCTCACGGTGTAGCAGCGACTGCAAGGGGTGAAGATGGAGTATTATCCGTTGACAGCCGCTGTTGTCGTCGTTGTCGGTCATAGTTCGTTGTTTATGCTTCATCCGTTGTATTAAGGCGGGGGGGTAGACTGAATTGCGGGACCGGTATAGCGGCAACAGGTCGGCGGACTAAGCCCGGCGGCTGTGTCACCACCAATCACTTGATTCTGTCTGA